CAGGAATGGCTAACCACAAGAAAAAAAAAGTTGTTCTTTTTTTCCAGTAGAAAGATTCACATTTCTTATTAAACGGACTCATAGTTCATATCTAAGTTTCATTTTAACGCTAGATTGTCAGAAAGCAACATGAATGGACAACATCCTCTTTACAAGTTCAGATCATTTAGAACCAAATGATGTAGTAATCCTGATTAAATTACTTTAATAAATCAGCAGAACAGCACATTATGAAGATACACCCACCCATATTATTTCTACTACTGGTAAAAAAAGGTAAAACAAACAGTAAAAATATTGAATTTTGGCATACACATTTATAGGCCTGAAGCATCTCTTCAGGTGAAATGCAAATGCAAGGCAGAAAAAGGTTACTGAAGGATAACAGAAGTCTTAATTGATGGTTTATTTTAAGTTAAAGAGTAGGTTTACTTTTATTAGTGAAGAAGAAAAAAAATCACAAGGCAAATTACAGTTCACATACAGTTAACAAACTTACAAAAATACACTTTCAGTTTTCAAATGTCAGAGTGTACTATCAGAAACTTCTGGGGGAGCACTTGAACCAGTTACGGTTCAAATATAATCCAGTACCCATCAAACATTGTTCAAATTACCAGTTCCTGGAACATGGATATTCATATTGGAACTATTTTGGTTTTAAATCATGGAGATTATAGCAGGAGAAAAGAATACAACACAGTTTAAGAGTATCTTCAAAGTAACATTTGATAAGCATGAAACAGCTTCTTAAAAAATTATCAAGGGGTCACAATGCAATCTAACATGTAAGTCTTTGAATCACCTTATTTGTAACAAGCACACATTCCTTCTTCCCCAATTATACGGCAGCTTATCATTTAAGAGACTGATTCAGATGTCTGAAATTTTACATGACTCTCCTTAGAGCTGTACTCACTAAATACAGTTTAACAGTTAAAATTATCTTGTTACTGCAGTACTTCAGCACAAAAAGATTTATTTACAATGGACCCAATTGATTAAGAGCTTACCGCTGTCAAATTTATTATGTAAGCTTTCATTTTATATCATTATTCTTATAAAGTAATTACTACAGAGAACTTTTGTCTTATGTTGAATTAACTTTGTTTCTCTGATAAGACACCACATCTCCTCTTTTTAGCTCAGGATCATCAAGAATAGAGAAAAAAATACATGCGGGCAGAAACTCACAAACAGGCACATAATCTATTCAGGACAACGAGATCTCATTTCAAATCTCATTAGCTATGAAAAAAGTCACAAATTCTCGTACGTTAAATATTTCCAAAATTAAAAGTGATACCTGTGTTGGTACACATTGCACCAAAAGCCCCGAGTAACAGACACCAGAAGTATGGTTGCAAGCTTCCCACTAAAGAGAAAACGTCCCACTAAACTACCTTTAACTAGGCAAAGTCACTTCATGTAACTATTTCCAAAAAAGTCCAGTCCCTGCTCAGGGCTTGGAAACCGTTCAACAGAGAAGGACCACGGACAAGCAGCCCCAGGACACTGCAGGGCCAACACCTCCCTCGGTGGCGACGGCGGGCAGGCGC